TCGTGAAATCAGCCTCTTGCAAATACACGATAGATCTGACCCTTCCTTTGACGCTACCATGGTGAAAGTTTTATAGCACCAGGTTCCTTTTTTGGCAATATTGTAATGCCAACCCCCAGGATGAATGTATGAATGGATGTTTGAAAATGACAGGAACTTCTCCCAGAAATTATGTTTATAATGTTAGAAGAGGAGCCCGAGGTTCCTTTTAGAGGGAAGATAAAAAAGTTCAAACTGGTCTACTTACATATTCAAGTGTCACAAACATCATAGGAAAACAACATCCAAATATCAGTCTAGGGTGGTTAGTATGAGAGGTGTGGCTGAAATATTTAATGAAAACAGATAAACAGCAAAGTTGGCACAGTGTGCACAAAAGAGAAGAGTTTCTCTCCGTCATATCCAGACTCAATCAAATATCATAAACAAAAAATCTGTCATGATTTTTCAGGTCATAGAAACATTCCAAATTAGGCAACAATGTTATTTTCAATAATGATTGAATCATTAATACAGTGAGTACAGAATCAAAATCCTGTCAGATTGCAATGTCATTGATGAAAAACTTCCAGAAAATTATTACTCACCTTGAACCATGTTGGATCTGTGCAGCTTTATTCTTTGAAATGAAGTTGGTCATTTTCTCATGCCTGGCAAGGCCATCAAAATCACTAGGCATTCAGGTTGCATAACTAACAAAAAGTAGACATGATTCACATAGTAGATCCTAAAGCCTAAACAATAGATACTAAACAAAAAATATCTAAACATACATCGGCAATATGTGCATAACGAAGTTCAAGCCATATAGGATCATGATCTTCCAACAGAACCTCTTTTCTCTCAGGTTGACCACCATTCTTGCCAGGAATCTAGAGAAAAAGTAGATTTGTGTTAATATAGTGGGCACAATTTTAGATGGAAAAAAGAGAAATTGTGGAATACCTCGTGAACATATTTATTTCCCTCCATATTCAACAAATCATGGCACATTGCATCATAAGTCCACTCGTGTATCAAAGGAGCAATCTATAACATCCATAATAGAACCCCCATTGTAAGCAATATGATACAGATTATTGAAATAATCTACAAGCCCATGAGCAAGAAAATAGAGATAAAAACCTGATCGATAGTTCTATCAATGATAAGAAGCTCGCATGTCTCAGTCTGAGGAAAATTAGGTATACTTTTTTTATATTTCATAAGAGAGTCCCAGACACCAGCAGCAAGCTTTGTAGGAATAAGTCATGAAGAGTAGTCATTGTGTTCGCATCTAGTGATCGGGCAGCATGAAATTGAACAAAAGGAAATTCCTAGAGAAAATTACATGATTTAGAACATTGACATACTATGGGAAACTATTAAAATTTTCAAATTCCTACGGCAAAGAGTCAAAGAGCATTGACTACATACTCTTAATGAAGCAAAAACAGAAGCAACTCGAGTAGCCATCACATTCAAACATGCAACAGCTTTTTTATTGTTCTCCTCGTCCCCATATAGCTCCTCTAAAGCTCTCTCATTGTTTGTAACGAAACCCTGCATTAACAGGACAAAATGACAACACAAAATAACGAGATAATCACAAGAATGAGAAAATACACTAAAAAACTTCCTACTGAGCACATTTGAAGGTTAATAAATTTTCTTAAATGAAATAATCTCAACAAGCCGATTTCATGAATTTTGAGCTTAAAAAGTATAGCTACACTATACCTTTTTAGAGAGACGATATTAGAACAAAATACATGAATGATTAAAATATCCAATTTGCACAAATCATTGGACGTTCGATCCATTTCCATGATTGTTCCATTTTTACTGCGTGAAAATTACTCCATTATAAATCCTCGACAAGTCTCTAATTTTGCAGATTCAGTCAAAGGCATAATTGTTTGTAATATTTATTCAAAGTATACTGGAATTTGAATCTGAAGAACAAACTTTGTATCTGTTTTGCAGACGTGTTTTTTCAACAGCTAATAGATTCTAATAAGTTATTATAACTGAAATAGTTGACCTGAGCTAATGGCTATGTACATTAATATTGTATATGTGGAAGTGGACAAATACTAGGTGCATGTCTACACTTAATAAGTTTTGAAAATTTCTAATACTGCTTATATAACTATGAAAGGGAAGAGAGTAATCTCATTCATATGAGCAAAGATGTAAAGAGTGGAAGGCAAGATAAATGAAGTACAACCACATACCACATACCTGACTGTCGATGGCAAAATATTCTAAATTCATCTGCCATGCACAGTGAAAGAAAAAAAATCACAATAAGCAACATATGAAATTGTTTTCGACAATATTCAATTTAACATAGAGTTCATAAACATTTTAAAAACAAAAACAAAACTTCACCTCTCTTAATGCACCAATGCGAGGCAAAACCAGTGTATCTTTCTTAATCTCCAACACCAATTCTCTGGCAATAGGTGAACTAAAGAAAACAAATGCTCTACAAAAACACAGAATATAACAGGCTTGAAAACCAATAAGTAGAAGTGAAGGTGAAATCGCAAAAAAAAAAGGTACGAAAGAACACATACTTCCTGTATAAAGGTTTTCTTCTAGACATATCTGACAAAAACATTATTACACTGCCAACACAGAGGGAGAATCAATAAGAAACAATTCTATAAAACCAGGTGGAATAGGTTAACTAAAACCATTTTCAAAGCAGCTAATTGAAACTATCATAGACACAAGTTTATAATATTCCAAATATGCATTATTAGAAGAGAGATAGTGCACTTTTACCATCTCTTCTTCTCTTTCCCAGTGCCGATTTCAAATCTACACCACAAAATTCATAAAATTTACATGCATTTCAAAAAAATATAAACAATTTCTGATACTAAAATACATGAAAATACCGTCTTCTTCGAGGTCACTGCCGGAATCGTTGGGGTCATCGAAGACAGAAGGAGGAGCTCAAAGAGAATCGGTGAGGGAGTTATGGTCATTGACGCTGCCGAAGGAATTGTAGTTTTGTGTGACGCTGCCTTTTTCATCCCATTTAGGGTCTTCTACAAGGGATTGTAACAGTTTGGGAGGAATGGTGAAAGCGGGTTTCAAAACTTTAGGGTTCTTCTTTAGAAGACCCACACGAACCTTAGGTCGAGAATTCTTGTATTTTCTTCGTGAGTAGAAAAAGTGAACGCAGGAGTAGAAAGTGAATTGATGTTTTATGTATTTTAAGAGCTTTTTAACTTTTTTACGGCGACGGGTGTTTTACCGTCGTGACCATGAGAATTTTTAAAGGTTTTGGGTGCGACGGTTGTTTTACCGTCGTGAAATGAATTTTAGGACGGATAATTTTACCGTCGTGAAAGGTTTAAGGGTGCGACGGGTGCTTTACCGTCGTGATATGCCTTTTAGGACGGTTAATTTTACCGTCGTGACTAGTTGTTGGTGAAAAATCAATGTTAAAAGTGTTAAATGGGGGCCGACGGTTGTTTTACCGTCGTAATAATAATATTATGATGGTTAATTATACCATCGCAAAATAAATATTAGGGACGGTTGGTGTCAACTGTCGTAAACACTGTCTCTATATGTCAATTACGACAGTTATCACATAACTGTCGCAATTTTTGTGTCGTTAAACACTAATTTTCTTGTAGTGGGGATACAATATTGATAGCCTAGGTAGCATATTTATACTAAAAATTGAAAATGCCAAAAGGCCCTAATAAAGAATAAGTATTGGGAATTGTGGACATTAAATAAATTACATTTCCAATAGTATTGTGACTTTACTTTGTATCAGAGTAGGAGACAGTGTTTGGGTTGTTCTTCCTTCTTTTATTTCTATTTTTTTGCCGACGTGTGGTTATTTCTATTTTTCTCCGACCTTTGTTTTTAACCGATTTTGTTAATTTCCTAAGCACATCTTATGCTTTTGTTGTATTATGTTCTCTAACTGTTTTTTTTCTTTTCATTTAATATATTGATCTGCATTGTTATTTAAAAAAACAAATTTGTTATCTTGACACTAAAATTTTACAGTAATACTTACATAATAAACGATATTCTTCATATTTATACAATAAACAATATTTTTTAATAAAATAATATTATTTAAAAAAATTATTTTTAAAATTTTATTTTATAACATAAATATAAAATTGTGTCATTAACTAATTTTATAATTGTATTAACCACAAAAAATATACGTTATTAACCAATTATCTTATTTATAATTTATTAACCACTTTCACATTTATTAACCAATAAAATATATACTATTAATCATGTTTTGATATTAAATTAAAAATTTATTAATCAACTTTTACACTTTATTAATCAACTTTATTTTACTATTCAATTTTTTTTAGAACTAATTAACCAAATTATGAATTGTATTAGTAAATTTTATACATAATATTAATCGAAGTCTGAACTTAATATATATTATATTTTTATGTCAGAATACATAATAATCAAATTTCAAACTGTATTAATTAAGTTTTAATATTTCATTAACCAAAATAGTTTTAGAAACAATTAATTTAAAAAGTTAAAATAATATAAAAAATATTGTTCACATATTTGTGAATAGTGTATACAATATAATGTCATTTTTAGTGTCAAAGATATCATTTTTCTTTAAAAAAAAATAGAGTTGCTAAAATTTACTGTTGTTTAAAATTAAAAAAATTATAATAATATTCTTGTTTAATTTTAAAAAGCCGGATAGAGTTTCTCCTCCACACGATGAAGTAGCTATATTCTAAAAACTGTCATTTTCCGCAAAAAAAAAAACAATTAGACAAAAACAGCACTGATTCATTTCAAACCCTTCCATGTTTACTAGTTTTAAAGATAAGGTTGATTAATACAGACTAGCTACCATCTCAACTAGCATGTAAAGGTTCCGTGTTGATTCCTACTTCTTTCCATTATATATAGACCACTCTTTCTTATTATTTTTCTCATCCTTCACTACCAAATATCACATTTGAATTGATATGAAATTGAGTACAATGGATCCCAAAAATGCAATCCTCATCCTAGGCCTATTGGCCATGGTTCTTCTCATTTCCTCTCAGGTGTCAGCTAGGGACTTAGCTGAGACTTCCCCTAATACCGAAGAGGGTGAGCTAGCTATACATTATTTTTCATAATTTGAGATTCAAATGTATATTTTCCAGAGCACAATGTATATGAACACACGGTTGTATTTGCAGTAAATGATGCCAAATATGGTCACTATGGTGGTGGTAGTCATGGCCATGGGCACGGTGGTCATTATGGTGGAGGTGGTCATCATGGTGGACATGGAGTTGTATCCGACAACGGTAACTAATTACATCACATTCTTAATATGTATTATCTATCTTGCCAATATATGTATATAAACAAACGGTTTTATTTGCAGCGGTTGTTGAAAAATTAAATGAAGTAAATGATGCCAAATATGGACACTATGGCGGTGGTCACTATGGAGGTGGACACTATGGTGGTGGACATTATGGTGGTGGTGGTGGACATGGTGGACACTATGGTGGTGGTGGTGGACATGGTGGACATGGTGCTTCCGACAATGGAAACTGATTATATCATCAAACATGATGCACATTCTAAGTAATAAATTTCATGAATGAGTAACGTTTGGTGTTGAATAAAAGAGGTATAGATAGTCATCAGTCTATTCTGGTTATGTATCATCTTTGTATATGTGGTGACAAGTTTGATTTGAATCTATGTGGTGAATGTGTTATCATTTGTAATATATCAAATATCATATTGTTTGTACTTTAGCTCCTTTTAAGTTTATATATCCATACTACTGAAATTTCTCTAAGAAAATTGGTCGATTAATTGACAGAAGAAGCCATGTATAATTCATAATTATAAAATCTTTGTAATAAAAAGGCATGTACAAGTCATAAACATAATCAATAAAATGAAGTTAAATAAATAACCTTTAGAATGACACTGAAAGGGAACATTAACTTCAAAAAAAATTGATGAAATAAATTCTTCAAACAAATTATTGGCGGACTAGATATTCTTTAAGAAAAATTTACACAACTTTTTTCTTTCAAAAATTCACTACGCCAAATAAGCTATTTAATAGCGCTTTTTTTTTTTTGATAGCGCTTAAAAGTGCTATTAACCGCGCCACTATTGTAAATATTTCTTATTTAATAGCACTTTAAAAGCGCTATTAAAGTACCAATTTATAATAGCGTTTTAATTAAAGTGCTATCAAAGTCAGTATTTTGCATGTTTTTTGTTTGTTTTTTTATAGCACTCTAAACAAAAAACGCTAATATATAACATATGTTTGATAGCGCTTTCAAATAAAGTGCTAATAAATGGTACATATTTGGTACAATATTTTTAATAAGTACAGTACAATATTTTTTCTTACACAATCATTTTTTTTGGTGTAAATATAAAATAATTATATTCAATTCAACACAAATAACGCTTTAAGTTACTCATTGCATATATATTATGATCCATCAAATACCAAATAACACTCAGTACCTCTGTGCCATTATATAATAATTAGGATACAAGTGTTAATTTACATTGAAATTGAACTAAAATGTGAAGTAAAAAGGAATGCCCGAGAGCTCCAAAACACAATTATAGGGCGAAGAATAAACAAAACAGCTTTGAAGTGAGCATAGTCATGTGTTTAAAACATTGAAACCCAATTTAAGTAGATGGACAGTAATCAATAATGTTACTTGGACGGCTTCATAGCTACATCAAGCCACAAGACGATCCATGACCAATTTCACAACTCTAGGAGCATCAACTCTCACAGCTACTTTTACTGTTGGCATATTGGACCATTTAGTGACTTCTTCAAACCTGGTTTATTGCAAAAAGAAAAAAAAGACAGAAAAGTGAGGTAACGTATAGTAAAGGTAACCTAAAGACAAAGTTAATCGTACTTGCAATACAAGATGAAGACAAGATATTATTACAAAGAAGTTTTTGTTCAACTCCCCCTTGCTAAATCATCCATTATATTGGACTCTTACAGTGTTGAAACCCGGTTAAAAAATGAGTAAACCATTTAATTGGTTCTCCAAGCTATGCATGTCAACACATTAGTTCTTCAGAGGTTTTGTTTCAATATTACAGCAACCAAGCCTTATAATATTAGGTTGGGTCGCCTGCGAGGATCAAACGACACCATAGTGTTCTATCATAAGTCAGAATTTGGATCCTCTATATTGACTTAAGTGTAAAGTGAGAAAAGCAAGGGTTGTTAACAAACTCATGATTTGTTATGATGCACCTATAATATCTACCTATGATTCGTTAGTTAATGGTTGATATTACTCACGTTACACTCTAAAGTAAATTGCTAACTTTAGAGGAGTGCGATTTGTCATGATGTACCAATAATATCTACCATAAATCATATCTCTATCCTAACCATTGACCCCAAAGTTTCCTTAGTAGTTCCTTGTACAGTGTTTCTAGGTATTCCTATGACTCTAACGGTTGGACTACCCTTCATCTGATCTACACTTATAGCATTCATCTACATATCTTTTCCACACATGTCTAAGCCACCTAAGTCGAGATAGAGCCAAATTTTCTACAATAAGGTGTTACCCTGATTCTATCTTTAATTATAATTTTTAATCATATTGTCTATTATTTCCCCGTAGGTACAGAAGAACATTCTCATACAAACCTCAAAATCAGGGATGTTTAGGCATGCTGAGATTACAAACGAAAACCAATGTCTAGAGCCAAAAACTAAACCAAGCTCCAATAGGGAGATAAAACTCAACCAATTCGACAATAACTCATCTACACAACATAAATGATATTTGATCTTAGATCTAACTTACCCACCAACTAACTAGGGTATTTGGATCCAAAATTCATAACAAAATGAACAAGTCATCACAAGATAGAAAATCTTGATAACAAAGTATTTTCCCTAATAATTGCACTCAAAAGGGTGACGGAGACTTGAATATTATGGAGTTCCCAAGTCTAACATTGAATAGTATAAGTTGCTCGGCGGAGTATTGAGTGACTTAGTTTGCCGGTGTCTCAGAAAAGGCCAACTACAGATGAGCTATTTGAAAATGGTCAAGCGAAGTTTCCTACAGTAGGCCTCCAGAATGGCGACTCTTGTGGGCAGTGTTAAGATATAGACTTGGGTATTATGGGGTGCTTAATCACCCCTTGGAAAGCATCCTCCATTAGCCCATACAAAAAGGAACAAGCTTAGCAAACTCCAGGTTATGTTCTCTGTTCAGCTAAGACTCTATTCACCAACGAAGTATCTCTGTAGTTATCCCTGTCATCATGTTTGGTCCAGCAAGGTAGATTTTGGCCAGGCCAGAGCTAATGCAGTGTACTTGAGAATGTAACAGTTATCTGAAACAGAATGTTCTAGGCATACCTGGGAAATCTTCACATAAATTGCTCTTCCTAATCAAATAGAAGGAATATATAAACAAAAGGCCGGGGAATTCATTTAAATTTTAATGCAATCTAAACTCCTATCAAACAACAGCCTACACCATTTACGAAAAGTTTACTTCCTTCCCCTAAAGAACTAGGTTGGTCACTGAAAAATTCCTATTTCTTTGGTAGAGTCAATGCAATCCCATAGCATCTTTACAAACTATTCTGAGAAATTTGGAGAGAGACAGAACTGCTATAAAATGGCATTAACATTCATATAGATAAATTTCAGGGCTATCAACTCCTAGTGCTTTCTACCTTTTCTGTTTATTGTAGAGAATTGTAAGTCCCCTTGTTATGCCACTGGTTTGGACTCTAACAGCACCTTCTGTGCAAGTTACGAGTGAAGGATCAACGGCTGCAAGCAACGCTGTAGGGTCATGAAGGTAAACTCCCGTATAAAAGAACTATTAATAATTCGGATGATTAGGCCTATATTATCTCTTTAATGCAGAATGAAGACATACCATTGGTGTTGTATGCGTCACAATGGTAAGAGAAATACACCTCTAAGATTCCGGTAAGGTATTGAGCAAATTTTCCTTTTGAACTTGCTAACTTTTCTCTATCAGAACCTAGTCATTTTGTTTTTTCGGATGAGGGTAAACCAAAACAAATGTTAACATGACAAGTGACATGAACCATAATTAAAATAGAAGCATGCTCATAGCAGTCAACCGATGTCAAGTTTCATGCTAAAATACTGCCAATAGAGACACAAAGGTAATAAAAAGTTTCATGGGTTTCAAAATATTATAGGAACTAGTTATAGATATAAAACCAGTCACGAACTTCACTTAACAACTGAAACTTTTGAGAGTTAGTCATTGACAATTATCATGGGGGGAAATTATTTAAGTTAGTTGAAACTTTTGAACTCGGTCTCTCTCAATCCAAACACGGTGATCTTTCCCTGCCTTTGGCATGTGTCTGCATTAAATACTAAAAGTGCGGTGATACCATGGAAAATAGATTATTATCTACCACAATATTATCCATTAATCAAAGGTCTCCCGAGAATACTAGTTTGGTTAGGGAGACATCCATGAAATCTGTTGAGTTGAAAACATTATTTATGGGAACTTATTAATATAAAAGTTTAAAATAGTCATATAAAAGGTTGCTGGATCATGATGCATAAATCATGAAAGGAAAAGGAAAGAAAATTATCATAACAGTTGAAGAACTAGATGTTAAACCACATAAGATTTTCCAAGAGATGATTAGTCATTTTAACAAAATACCTACGTAAGCATGAAAAAACTGAGTGCATATGAATTTGGCAAAGGGGTACCTGACAATACGACTTGGTGAGTAACATTTATTCCAACTGCCAATATATCTGCGCCACTTGTGAATACAACATCAGCAGCATCTGGATCACCAAATATCTGGAATTAAATCCAACTGAAGATTTAGATAGATCGAGCAGTGAACGGTTTTGAATACAAAATGTTAATACTTACATTTGCTTCAGCAGCTGGATTCGCATTTGCAAGTCTTGATCCACCCTCTTGTTGTCTACAGAGCCATTGATCAAGTTTTTCCTGGTACAATCTAGACTCTAAGACTCTGAGTGACATTAGAATTATGAAAAGTACATAGTTTTAATCCTTCGAGTAAGAGATTAAAAAATAGAAGAAAAGAGCTTCTCTAGAACATAGGGCCCAATGGGATAAATAGTGCGATTCAAACTTATTCGAAAAATACACTAGCCGGAAAGCTTCAATATGTAAAGAAACAAAGCTTGTGGTTGTTTGTCAAAGTTAGCACATAAACAATTACCTCTTTTACCAATTGGTGATGCTGTCATCCCAAAAATCTTTGGCTTTACATTAGCTTGATGATAAAATTCCTTCAACAGTAGAAAACACAATAGTCATATGAAAATTTATTTTCCAAGGGTCTGTTTGGATAGCAATGGATTTTGCTCCCCTCCCAAAAAAACAAACAAACAGACAGACCCTAATATAAAAAGTTTAATGAAAGACAAAAGATAATGTATGATCAATGAATACAAGGAAAAAAAAGTGTTTTCTAGCTCTCACCACCATTATCTTTGCATAGGGATGGTTGCCTGATGCTTGATGACACTCATC